GTGCTGTATACATATATATTAGTTATATTATATATATATATATATATATATATATATATATATATATATATATATATATATATATATATATATAGTTATATACATATATATATATATATATATATATAGATATATGTATATATATATAAATATATATATTTCGCTGTTATAATATATACACTTCTACGTATGTAAATAGTCATGGTATCGTCAATGATTATTCTACATGTGTAGTCAATTTATGTTTATCGTCGCGCGTATGATTAGAAAGGACCTTGTTTTGTCGCGTGCCTTTGTATCATGAGTGGCTTCCATGTTGTGTTACTTTTCCTCGACTTCGAATACGGTATATCATTACTTATTGTACATAATATTTTTATGCACAGCTGTCAATGAATCACACGAGGGCAAACGTAAATCAGAATCGACGTGGCCTATCTTTCGAGTGCACCATCAACGCTCGAAATACGTATACGATCTGTTCTACAAGCGCAAAGCTATTTCCAAGGATCTCTATGAATACTGCCTAAAGGAGAAGTATGCGGACGCTAACCTAATCGCCAAATGGAAGAAGGTATGTATCGGTCGGTGTCACTTGCTCTTGCGTGACTGGCGCAGCCCTGAGCTATGGCTAGAAGGCTTTGATCGTTTATCAACCTTGGTTCAAAAGTGTTCCGTATATTTATTTAAACATATGCAGCTATTACATGCAAATATTCACCGGATCTGTCTGCATCCATTTTTATTGTACTTCGATACATCGCCCGTGCTTTCAATTTTGAACTCTAGTCTTGGATCCTATCAATACTAACGCAACACACATGTTTTTCCTACCCTTCACTTCCAGTCTGGATATGAGAATCTTTGCTGCCTGCGGTGTATTCAAACCCGCGACACCAACTTTGGAACTCAGTGTATATGTCGCGTGCCAAAGAAAAAACTAGAAGAGGAGAAGGTTATCGAGTGCGTGCACTGTGGTTGCCGAGGATGCTCTGGCTAATACTTAACGAGTACTTTTCATAGGGGAAATACATAGTCTTCACTGTATAACTTATTATGTGAAAAAGTGAAGCTCCACTGGTATATATTTATTCTGCTGGACAAGGCAGTTACATAGAAATGGCGATGGAGGCCGAGGGATGAGGGGATGCACCGTGTTAGTCGGCGAGAACATACACAATAAATTTAACAAGTCATTGGAAGTAGCTTCTATGTACCGCCACCGTTATGCACTTGCGGTGCAAGTGCACATGCCAAGCGAAAACGAATATAAATTCGCCTGTATCCACCCGTCATTTTATGTACATGAATCTCAACTCAATTTGAGTTCTGTAACATACAAATGTACATGTATTTGAGATATAACCAAGTCTGTTTTCAAATGATTCTGAGAATCAATATCTGCAGTGATTTCCAACTATATATGACATCTAGTGTAGGCCTCAGCCCTCAGGTCAAACCATACGAGTTCTAATAACGTACTCGCTAACAAGCAATGCAAACAATATAAATATTTCATCAAAAACGGTTTGAGGGTTGATTTACTTCGAGACAGATGGGCCAGTCATTTATTTACGCCTTTCAGTTGGTCCCTGTGACCCCACACCCGATGGGATGCCCTATTGTTTAGAGAAAGCATACACGATCTGGTGGACAGTATAGCCATCGTCTTCTCATCATCGAGTTTATACAAGTTTCAGATGCGTTCTTGTCTCTCGTAGCCAACACAACTATGTCGTTTACCAAGTCTCGACCTGTCAGGAAGATCTTCACTATCGAGTCATTCCGCCACAGCTGAGTTTCCGGTTCATCGGTGAATACTCCAACGCAAGCGGACTGCGTCTCTCCAATAAAAGATGTGACTATCGAACGGTAGCTAGCCCCTTCTAATGTGTGTGGATGTCGCAAACCCGTCCCCGTGTACAGTATCGAGGACAACATCCAAATTTTCATCCAAGACAGCGAATTGGCGAGGTCATCTCTATCCCAACACGTGCAAACATTGCACCACCAAAATCTACTTCAACCCCTTCGCACTGTTACTGTTGATCTGGCTCGTACGGATATTGCTATAATGATTCTATTAGCAAATACACAACACACTGTCTAAATTCTACTTTATATAGTTGTACTTCACACGCTAGTGACAACTGGTGGAGTACTAGATCTTCTTCCCTAGCCACGGGTAAAACCTATAACAAAGATAATTTTCTGAAATACTGTACAGGAGACTGGCTTGTTGTACTGCCGATTACTATAAACCGATAGTACCACTTTCGAATCGCAAAATCTATTTTACAAGATAGTAACACTCCATTCTAGCGGTATAGCCCTACCATCGTAAAATGTAGTATACTACACGCCTTCGGATATTTCTCAGCGGCGCTGAGCTTATTGTTTGCATACAACTCGGACCTATACGGCATCTTCAGCCACTCGATCACCTACCGTGTAACTGAAGCACTGAAAGTATGGTACCACTTTCCATGGTCTGCAGTATCAATATACGCAAGGATGCTACTACTTCTATATCCACACTCGACTTGTATTCCCTGAAGGAGCTACTTCCACAGAAAATATGGAATATATCAACACAATCCAAGGCATACGAGCCACGAAATGATATAACTTTCCACAAGCGGTATTGTACAAGTGTAGACACATACATAAGATATAGCTACTTTTCTAATTCGAGAATCGACAGCAACTATGAATATCATCACAAATCATGATAGCATCAATACACACTAATAACCCAAATCCAACTGAATCGTAAACCTGAAGAGTATAGGCACTAGCGCATGACTATACGTGAAAATAGCACAGCGCATATTGTAACTGATAAAAAAACTCACAAACGTATACATAACTGACTGGTCATGCAAATATTACGATGAACAAGAAAAGAACAATTGACAAACTTGATGTCTCGAAATATAGTATATTTATGCAAACAAAAATTGACACTAGCATTATTCACATACACGAGCTAACACTAGCGTATATTGCATCAAATATAGAAACATAATCGTACCAGAGTCCAGACTCGTGAAGCCTATAATCTGCGTCAAATGATATCACTAGCATATACTACCAAAATAAACTATATGCTTTGAATGCGACAGCACAGCATAATAAGAAACGTATTCACACGCCTGGCAAACATACCACGGATGCAGAACACTTTCCACGCGCAAATTTTTCAAAGCAGTCGCACTACTTCCGATGTATTCGTTCACAATGCACTTCCATACAAACAAGGTCATAAAGAAACATTTGGTATATGCTTGTATGCATACACAAACAAATATTGATTCCTGAATAAACGCAGTAAAGCTAAACGGATGTACGTAGCCACACACAAAAGAAAACATACTTATATTCAGACAAAGGATGTTAACACAGGCAGGCTTTATTACAACAAAAGCACACAGTATCTTACACAGCTATCTCAGGCGCATCCATTCTGTATCCATCTTGATCGTCCCATTGCACAGCCAACACATATACCGCACAATACGGACATTGTTGTGCGTAATTTGCTTGTGCACAAAAATAATCGTCCGGCTTCTATCGTCGTTTTGTGTGCCCCATCGACTTGGACCAAGTAGCACTGTAATAATATACTAGTTTGCTGACATTGTTGTAGATATACACCCTTTAGCTAGTGTAATTTTTTTTCCTATTTTCTCCTCAGCTATATCCTCCGCCACATGCCTGTATATACACACACCTCGAACCACACACGGCTTCGCATTATAATTCTAAATGTGAATTAACTCTCCACTGCTTAGATGCACTTAACGAGTGGTCTTGCGCACGGATGCGGTCTCCTCGGCCTTGGGTACGTTCTCGAACTTCTCGCCTACGATAAGCTCGATGTGGCAAGGAGAGGACATGTAAGGATTGATACGACCGTGTGCACGGTATGTACGTCTGCGCATGTAGGGGGCCTGGTTAACCTGGATGTGGTTGATGGTAAGGTTATCGATGTCCAGTCCCTTGGTCTCAGCATTGCTCTCGGCATTGCGCAGAAGATCCAAAAGATAGTTACAGGACTTTACGGGCCAACGTCCCTGGGTCACTCCGAACTCCTTGCACTGGGCGTGGCGTCCGACATCTCCCTTGAAGCGACGGAAGGGGATGATGCGCTTCTTCTCCTTGACATCCTCAAGGTACTGAATGGCACCCTTTAGAGGCATGTTCTTGATGGCCATGGCAGTCTCACGCGTGTTCTTCATGTGCACACGAAGGTGAGACCCCTTGGCCTTGGCAGACTTGCTCTCGTCTAGAGGAGCAGCGGCGTATCTACCCATATTGACAATAAATACGGTTACGTTATTGCAAAAAGACCGTAGTGTAACGGTGTTGTGTAGTCTATGTACAATTATTTTTGCGATTCGCAAGAGTTTCCGCTGTGTGCACGTCACCGAATCACTTGCCGCTCGTGGTAATTTTAAAACAGCTACACATGGATGGACCGATGGGACTGTGGGCCTCTACATGGGCCTGTGGGTGAAATTGTACTGTCACACGGGGGTAGATATTGCAATAATCTATTTTTAGAACCCTGATTTTTTTTCGAACTGAAGTCGGCAGACTTCTTCAGAGTGAGCTTTGAAAATTTATGTTTTTTTTCTAGAGAAACTGTATGGCAAATCTGCTCATCCATCATGATATGAGTAAAGGCCAGTTTGCGCGGGTGAATTGGAAAAAATCACAAAGAGCGTTAAATATCATTAGAGGTTACAAACTTACAATTGAGGAGGCCGTTTACAATTGAAGATCATAATCTATCTATATCTACAGGCGGAAAATGAAGAGCTATATGTTAATACTGTACGCATAGTTTGGATGTAGTTCAATTCGCTGCAATTCGCTAATGAAAACCGCACTATAAGAGAGAAGCTGTGTTATAAAGCCACATTGCCAACTATTCTACTACGTATTTGAAGATTTTACTTCCATATCGCTTCACGCTGTTTTACTTTTGGAACTTTCACAAGGGATAGCTGTCTAAATTAAAAATTAATTCATTTTATACTAGCGTCTGCCTACTACTAGTTAAAAATATGACCTCCAAGAAAATGTATTTTGGCCTCCGAAACCCGCTCGCCTACTCATACATGCGTGTGTTTCGATATATGTAAGTGTAAGGTATATCTTGGTTGACAGTTCGTTTTGTAGCCCAGTAAGAATCGATGTATATATGTTCTATTAAGCTTTCATTGAACATATGGGAAGATTTTTTTATACTCAACACGCGAAGGGGTCAACACAGCTATATACGTATGTCGGATCATGTATCAGCGGCCATTACTATTGCAAATGGTCTAAAGTCAATCATATATCGTACGGCCACGAATAGATTTGTGGCCTGAATATTGAGAATTATCTTAATGTGCACATTCGGTTCGATTCAAAAACTGTTTCTTATCCATATTTGAAAGCTATGCGTGTTGCTATAACACTCATGACTTGCTATACAGCTATATATATATATATATATATATATATATATATATATATATATATATATATATATATAGTAGTAGAGTAGTAGTAGTTGTTGTTCGTTCTTACGTACGTAACG